TCCGATTGACCCCAAGTTTTGCACACAAGTCACAAATGACACTTGTGACTTGTGTGCAAAAAGAGCAATAAAAATGTGTCCTTTTTTGGGAAAGATTAAGAAAACGAGTTTCACGTAAAATGAAACAAATGAGATTAAATAATATTGTACTGTTTTTCCCGGTACAGGAACAAGTTGCTATAATAATTTCTTTAAAAGACATTAATTCTACGTAGTTTATGGAACACCAACCTTGGCTTGCTCCAATATCTAAGTTTACTTGAATTACATTGCATTTGACATTTCATACAATATCTACCCTAATAAACTACAATCTAATCCAAATTGTTGGGCCCGTGCACAAGCACAGGCAAACATACTCTAGTTCTCTTATATAAGAAGCACGGTAGGAGCAGGTGAAGTAGGGGGTCTTCGTTGACATCGCTGCTTGCACAAGGGACATTTTGGTCATTTTAATGGTTGGACGAAGGATTACTTGGTAATTTCGTGGCTATTATCCTGGGAAGTCGCTGCATTTACTTTTGCTTTATCCATTAGCTGCTCCTCTCTGCTTTTGTTTGGCTTTAGCTTTTTCTCTGCGAATTTCGGACTTTGGCTGCGGTAGGGTAGGAACAGGTGAAGCAGGGAGGTCTTCGTTGACATCCCTGCTTGCACAAGGGACATTTTGGTTATTTCAGTGGTTGGACAAAGGATTACTTGGTAATTTCGTGGCTATTCTCCTAGGCGGTCGCCGCTTTTACTTTTGCTTTATCCGTTAGCTGCTGCTCTCTATTTTCGTTTGGATTGCTTTAGCTTTTTCTCTGCAAATTTCGGACTTTGGCTGTGGTGTCCACTAGTTTGAAAGATCTTTTGGTATTTTGCTTGGTTTTGCTATCGGGTTTCTCTGAAGAACACAACGTTTGCTAATCAGGGGTTATAGTGACTAGTGCTCCGACAATTTCAAGGTAGTTTCTAATTTATGCGTGTCACGACCCAAACTCCCTCCGTATAACATCGTGATGGCACTTAGTCTCTACGACTAGGTAAGCCTAATAAATTGCGAAAAATAACAACACGAAACTAAAATTTAGAAACTAACAGCAGTGGATAACTAAATAACTAGTAACAATGCCGCTCGGCATGTAAAATAACCAATACTCTATAAATACACAGTCTTCCCAAAACCCGGAACATCATGAGTCACAAGCTACAGAAGGAAAAGTAGTATCTCTATACACCAAAGTATAACAAAAGAAGTACAGAAGGTAATTGACATAGGGGAGAATAGAAGGGGACTCCGAGGTCTACGGACGCGGCAGATGTACCTTGAAGTCTCCGTACAACAGCAAACACTCTCAGCTAATAGCGGGGCTGATAAGAGGTACCTGGATCTGCACACAAAACATGTGCAGAAGAGTAGCATGAGTAAACCACAACGGTACCCAGTAAGTTCCAAGCCTAACCTCGATCGAGTAGTGATGAGGTCAGGTCAGGCCCACTGGTAAATAATAAATAAGGCAGGAGAATATACAATATAATAAGAGACTAGAATTTAAGAAAAGGAAACACAGCAAGGCAACAGTACAACACACAGGGGTAAACAGCAGGAGATCTCCCGAGATACCGTCTCGTAGTCCCAAAATAAATATACATGGAGAACTTCCGAGGTACCGCCTCGTAGTCTCAAAAGTAAATGTGCGGGGAGAACTCCCGAGGAATCGCCTCGTAGTCTCAAAAGTAAATGTACAGGGAGAACTCCCGAGGTACCGCCTCGTAGTCTCAAAAGTAAATGTGCAGGGAGAACTCCCGAGGTACCGTCTCGTAGTCTCAAAAGTAAATGTGCGGGGAGAACTCCTGAAGAACCGCCCTATAGTCTCAAAAGTAAACACAAAGCTCAACCGATAAAAACAACAGTTAACATCAAGATTTCTACAGTTATACTGATAAAGAACAAGGAAAAATAGGAATCAACTAGGCATGCTTCACAGAGTTCAAATAAACAGTTAAAGCACGTAGACATGCGATACTAGACTAAGCAGGATAACTACACATACTGGAATAGCTCAATTAAGAGTGAAAACAGACTAATTTTCATTTAAATGGTATAACTCATATGAAAAGGGATAACAGGTTGCTACTCAGTAAAATAAATAAGTTTTTACAACAACTAACCCGTGTACGTACTCGTCACCTCACGTACACGATGCTCACATATCACAACAGTACCAAACCCTAAGGGGATCTACCCCACACAAGGTTAGGCAAGCCACTTACCTCGAACCAAGCTCAATCAATCGGTGACAATGCCTTTTCCACGAATATCCGACTCCGAATGGCCCAAATCTAGCCAAAATCAATTACATACCATAAATACAACTATAAGAAATTAATATAATTAATGAAATCAAGACTTTAACAAAAATTCTGAAATTTGTCCTAAAAAGTCGACTCGGGCCCACATCTCAGAATCGGGTAAAAGTTACAAAATATGAACACCCATTCACTCACGAGTCCAAACATACCATAATTACCAATATCCGACATCAACTTGACCCTCAAATCCTCAAATCAAATTCTCCAAATCCCTAGCCTCAAAATCCCAAATTCCACCTTAAAAATACACTAACTAGGTGGAAACATAAATGGGGAAGTGAGATTATTGATCAAAAATAAGCACAAGGGACTTACCTCAAGAAATCCTTCGAAACTGCTCTCAAGAAATCGCCAACCCCGAGCTCAAAATGTTTAAAATGAGCAAAAATCGCGAATCATTGCATTTAAGTGTTCTGTCCAGCATTTTTGCATCTGCGGACCTCTAGTCGCACCTGCAGAAAAACCATCGCGGGTGCGGATTCCACTTATGGCCAGGGTTTCCGCTTCTGCGGACCAGGGATCGCACCTGTGATCTCGCTTCTGCGGAGACCCTTCCGCTCTGCGATCCCAAACCTCCCAGGCCTCTCCGCTTCTGCGTTCAAGTTCCACAGAAGCGACTCCACTCCTGCGGCCTTCATGTCGTACCTGCGACCCCAGGCCAAACTCCTCCGGCTCGCATCTGCGATCCTCCTCTCGCACGTGCGAGTCCGCACATGCGGTCACCCCACCGCAGGTGCGAAAACACCAGAAACTAGAAACTTCAGCAATTTGCATAAGTCCAAATTCAATCCGTTAAGCATCTGAAACACACCCGAGGCCCCCGGGATCTCAATCAAACATACCAACCAATCCTATAACACCATACGAACTTAGTCGAGCCCTTAGATCACATTAAACAATGCTAAAACACGAATTACACATCGATTCAAGCCTAATGAACTTCAAAGTTTTAAACTTGCACATCCGACGCTGAAATCTATCAAATCAAGTCCGATTGATTTCATATTTTATACACAAGTCATAATTGATATTACGAACCTATTCTAACTTCCGTAATCGGAATCCGACCCCGATATCAAAAAGTCCACTACCGATCAAAATCTCCGAAAATCCGACTTTCGCCATTTCAAGCCTAAATGAGATACAGACCTCCAAAAAATAATCCGGACATGCCCCTAAGTCCAAAATTACCCAACGGAGCTAACATAATTGATGAAACTCTATTCCAAAGTCGTCTTCATACATTTTTGACTACGAACAAAATCCTAAGACTTAAACTTCCATTTAGGGGCTAAGTATCCCAAAACACCCCAAAAACCAAAATAAAACCTCTCGGCAAGTCACATAAGCTGAAACAGATACGGAAAAATAGTAAATAGGGGATCGGGCATATAACTCTCAAAACGACCGGCCGGGTCGTTACGATGTGAATGACGGAATACTTCATCATTTCTTTCAACTCTTCTAAAGTGCAGTAAGAATCGATTTCAATCTATTATTTAGATACCACATCCGGACATGCATTAGAGGTATTTGATAAATTGTCCGAAAGAAACTACGGATGTTTGTGGACTGTTTTAATTTGATTTTGACTCGGTAAATTAAGCTTCAAATATGATGTTTATTTCACTGACCTTCTTTGTTTTTTCTTTTCCTTCATGGGTTACAAAAAGCATGAATTTCTGTCAAAAATTCATGTCTAGTTTCCTATTAACTTGGTATGTCAATCACTGATTAATATGAATTTTCAGTTCTTCCCGCATTAATTTTTATTGATAGTCTCTGTGGATGTTTCTTTGTTTATTTAATATCACTTTGGTTTGCTTCCTTACTTACGCTATTTCTAGGAATTTTACTTCAATAAGGAAAACTATCGGAATTAACTTTTTTTATTTGACTTTCTTCAAATGCTTAATTGATTTATTTGTCCAAAGTAGGATTATCATTCTATTCATCTTTGTTCTTCCAAATACTTAGATTGATTCTTATTCTTTTACTCTCTTTTCCTTCGAGGGTAGCGGAGGAATTTATTGTTGTTTTGAAATTTATGGAGCTATGTCGCAACTCCTGTTATAATTTATTTTGTGATTCTTCTATACTCGGTCAAATGAATAATCACCAAGGTGGTCTGCTCTGTGTAGATCAAAGTGATATACGAAAAGTACCTATAATATTCATTCATGGTGCTAATTCATGAACCTGATGCTTCCCATGAAATTTGAAATGGAAGACATAGACTAACAAAATTTTTGGCTATTTTTTGTTTAAGTTGCTGGGTAATAATACAACCTTTTTGTTATAAAAGAAATCTTGTGTTAGAGTCCATCTTCAGAAAAAATTCCAATGGAAATAAATTTCATATTTAAAGGGGGGAAATTTTTGAATGACTGCATATGCAGCGCGTGAGGTGTAGATATATAACATTAGGTGAATTATAAATAAAGCAGGGCCCATTTTTTTCAGAGAATTAATCGTCTTATACGGTAAACTAAGCGTGTGCATACAAAATATAGGTGGAGGTCCCACTTTATCAGCAAGCTTGTCCACGCGTAAGTACAGATGCATTTGAAAAGAGTTCATTCAACCTTAACTTAGTACTGATTTTTTTAGGGAATTTGGTCTCTTCTTCTGAAAATTTAGTTCCGATTTTTGCTTCGCTTTTATTAGCTGTACCTTTGCTTCTATTTCTATTGCCAATTGAAGAGTCTTTTAAGTAATTTTATTTGGGTTTCATTTTTCTTTTGCCTAAAATTATTCTTTGTAATTTTTGTTCCTCGGGTTTCACTCATTTTTTTGCTAGCTGTCAGTGTTTCTGACTATACGGAGATAACTAGGCTCGAAAAAACTGTTGATTCTACCTCCGATAAAAAAAAAGGGAAACGTCAATGTTCTGAAGAAAGAGGTGTTAAAATAAAACAGAGACGGAGTGAAATGTATAGAGAGATGTCAGCAGACAGAAGAGAATTAAACTTAATGCAACGACGAATGGCGTACCTTCATTCCACAACACAGAACCCTATTGGTAACTCCGCTGAGCTACCAACTTCCTCTCATCTTAACGGCGAGCTGATCGAAAATAGAATTGGTGTAAGAGGAGCCACATCTTCTCTCTTGGAAACAAGTTAGTACAATATTAAATTTTTGTTAATAACTTGCTGTTTATGTGTGTATGGTTTTATATATATGTCGATATAACTCANTATATAGCTCAATCTGGTTTAATTGACATGTGTTCTCTTTGTCTTTCTTAGCCGTTTCTGATAATGGCAGAGTTATAGGTGACAGCTCTTGCATTTTTGAAGTTGGTAAGTCTACAACTATGATGTTCAAGTTTGTAGATTTTTCAGATAACTGGCTTATACGATAGTTCCTTATATGTTAGAGTCAATATCAGGAACGTACAACGAACAATATAACATTACGTCGCGTACTGCGACAAAGAAAGGTTTGTTTTCATCTACCGTTCAAACCTTTTCACTCTTTTATTTTCCTCAGCTGACATATTTTTCTTTGCTAAAATCTGAGATACACAGGTCGTAAATCTAGAAAATTTGGTTGCTGGAACATTAATGAATTGCCTAATGATTCTTTTACACTCAAACCTGTATCAAACTGTCAATTTTGTAGAGCCAAAAGATTTGAATATGAACCATTAGGATTTTGTTGTGACAATGGTTCAGTGAAACTGATTCACTATGGAATGCCTACTGAATTGCTAAATCTTTATTTAGGAAACTCTGAGGAATCTGAACATTTTCGCACTTATGTTAGAATGTATAACAATATGTTCGCATTTACTTTTGTTGGAGTGAAATATGACAGAGATTTAGTGAAAAGAAATTATGGTATTTATACATTTAGAGTTCAGGAAAAAATGTATCATTTTATAGATAACTTGATGCCATCGAGTCAACCGGCTAAAAATCTACAGCTGTATTTCTACAATACAAATAATGAGGTAGCAAATCGGATGGCATTCTCTGACAAGCATAATGAATCAGTTATCAGAACTTTGATGGACACATTAAAAATAAACCCATAATGTATCTTTTTGAAATCGTTAACAGATATCCCAGAATTATCCAACTTCTATATTGCGCTTAAGTCTGGCTCTGGTTTAGATCAAAGAATATACAACTTACTAACATCGTCAGAAGCCGCATCAATATGGATAGAAGATGAGAGTAGTTCCAATATTTCTTTACCACACATTAGAATTTATACATGTAATTGTAAGAGCCAATTGGTAAATTATTACTACGGTTGTTAGGATTCGTTGCAATATCCATTACTATTTCCTTATGGACAGAATGGATGGCATTGTGGTATTAAAAAGATCATTCGAACAAACAATACTGGTAGTACTGGAATTTACTATGAACATGAACAATTTCCAAGTGTAGAAAATATGTGCTNCTTCCAAGTGTAAATAATATGTGCTCAATTGACATGCTTCTTGACATGGAAGCAGAACTTCTGCAAAAAAAGAAACGAAAAAGAAATATTATATCTTGCCGTGAGTATTACTGTTATAAGATCCAAATGAGGAATGACGAAGAAAACAGAGTTTTACATGCTGGGAGAGCATTTCAACAGTACTCGGTTGATCAATTCATCAAGCTTGAGACTCAAAGGTTAGATTTATATTCACTTAACCAAGACTTATTTCGAGTTGATGCGTTAGCGGGGCTTCTTGATGTTCTAAGACACGGAAAGAGAGATTCATCAAATATTGGTAAACAACGTTTTCTTCCTGCGAGTTTTGTAGGAGGTCCTAGAGATATGCGCCGAAGATATATGGACGCTATTGCATTAGTGCAACATTTTGGAAAACCTAATATATTTTTGACAATGACATGTAATCCATCTTGGCCTGAAATAGAAAAATATTTATTATTAACATATGAGGTACAAAATAGGCCTGATTTAGTTAGTCGAGTGTTTAGAGAAAAGGTAGAAGAGATGAAAACAAATATAATAAAGAGAAATATATTTGGTAGAGTTGATGCTTTTATGTACACTATTGAATTTCAGAAGCGCGGTCTTCCACATGCTCATTTTCTTATCATACTCAATAATGAATATAAATTGTTAACTGCAGAAGCTTGTGATAAAATTATTTGTGCTGAATTGCCTGATCTTGATATGAATGATTACTTGTATACACTTGTTACTAAACATATAATGCATGGACCTTGTGGTAGCTTAAATCCTAAATGTCATTGTACAGAAAAAAGGGATATTGTAAGTTTGAATATCCAAAAGAATTTGCTGACCACGTATCAAAGGGAAAAGATGAGTATCCAATATATCAAAGACGAAATACCGGCAAAGTTATACATATTAGAGGACAACTTCTTGATAACTCCTGGGTAGTTCCTTACAATCCATATCTACTGAGTAAATTTAATTGTCATATTAATATTGAAATTTGTTCTGATATTAAAGTTATCAAATATCTTTATAAATATATTTGCAAGGGACATGATAAAATTATCTTTTTCGTACATGTTGATGATCCGAATATTGAAATAGATACCCATCTTGGCGTTTATTTGGTTTTTCCATTAGTGAAATGAGCCCAGCTATTTACCATCTTCAGCTACATCTTGAAGAACAATAATTTATCTCTTTTAAAATCACACAGACTATAAATGCAATTGTAAGTAATCCCATGATTAGAAAAACAATGTTGACAAAATTTTTTCTGATGAACAGAGAAAACAAAGATGCTAAGAATCTAAAATTAATTTACAAGGAATTTTCAGAATATTTTGTATGGTCCAAACAATATAGAATGTGGACACGTCAATAATGGGGTACTGTTATTGGACGTATTGTGACATGTCATCCTACAGAGGGAAAATATACTATCTTAGATTGTTATTAATGAATATTAGAGGACCAAAATCATATCAATATTTGCGAACTCTAAATGGAATATGTTGCAGTACATTCAGAGAAGCCGCAGAGAAAAGAAGATTGTTAGAATGTGACAATAACTTGGTTGACTGTATGTCAGAAGCCGTAAGATATCAAATGCCTTATAGTTTAAGCGCCTGTTTGGATTGGCGGGAAAAAAGTGACTTTTAAGCATAAGTGTTTAAAAGCACTCTTTAAGTTCTTGAGCTTACTTTACAAATAAGCAGTAACGTGTTTGGATAGAAGTACGTAAGCTGAAAAAAAGCTATTAAAATATTTAGTAAACAAGCGCTGATAAACACTTTTTTCTGTTAAAATGACCGAGATGCCCTTAAAGCTGTCAACACTAAAAATAAGCTTATTGATGCATTTTTAATTATAAACTAACTCAAATGCAGATTAATTTGTGTATCAATTCAGTTTAAGTTATAATACTTATTAGATAAGATTATTTTAGTTAATATAAAGTACTTATTGGGTAAAACATTAATTAATAATTGTAATTAAAAAATATACTTAAATTATATAAACAATTCATATAAAATTAC